CCGTGAGCTTGTGAAAAGAACATTCAAATTCAGTTGTTTGCAAATGATGTTTACCCAGAATAAACCAGAGGTATAGAGCATTTAAAACTCATTGTATCTTTTATGCCTAATTGATATACCCCTTTATGTGTCTATTGTGGTCTTCTTTTATTTAAAACCAATTTCAGAATGAGAATAATAGAATTTAAATTATGAAGATTTAGGTAAATATTTACTCCAGTTTAGGCTGACTTTTTGAATTGTGTTTTTCTGATGGCAGCAGGCTTTAACACATGCCAAGTTTAACTGAAAAGAATATTTTGTCTTCTCTGTGTAATTTGTAAATAAGGGTCTATACTTGTCATCTTTGCTTTGATGTATATTTCATCTATTCAGTCATTATAAGAATATTAAAGTTTGGTAAATATTTGTGAAGATCATCATTTTTGATTTTAGCTGAAAAGCATCATGAAATGAAACAAAGTTTGTATTCATATTCTTTTATGATGTGACTTTGTTCTTGGTACAAAGTCCCGTCTGTTGCAATTCAAATCATAACATTGAAAATGTGAGAACTATTTTTTGTGCATTTGTATTTTACTTAAAAATCATGAGATTTTGAACAATTGTGACTTGAATATGTTGGTACTGGCACAGTGGCCACTTGTCAGTAAAGTGAGAAAATTTTGAATTTAATGTCCTAAATACAGTTATCATGTGATGTCCAGGAACGAATTATTGAAAATGAATAGGCCCAAACTTACATGCAAACTTCCTTCTAAATGACAGGTGCCTTTACACCTCAAGCTATTAACACCTCAATTATCACCCACTCTATTTTTTCATGAAAATTCAATTTAAATTTGATTCGGAGCTTCTTTAGTATTTTTATTTTTAATGAAAGTTTTGTTGTACGAATGTATAAATTACACTCTCATATTTTGTTTATTGTTGATTTATCAATTGATTGCTATTAAAAGGTATAAATTACAAGTAGAAAATTTGTAAGCCGTTACTGGAGGGTAAGTTTAATACAAGGACGAGCTGGCACGAAAAAAAAACAGAATTTAATGATAGACCACACCATAATGAATTATTTTAAAGTATAAATGTGAATGTTTTATGATTTCAAATCAAATTGATTTTATCCACAATTTGAACATCCATTTTCATAATAAACTCACTTATCAGGCATCCATATAATTTGAACCAGAAATAATATGTTTGAAATATCATTATCATATTTCTTAGTTATTTAAAAAGTTGAATTGAGTGGAAAGTTTAGGAATGTGGACTTTGCATCAAGGGCTCTTAATTTGCAATAATTATTGGGTGATTCTTTCAATGAAAATGTCTTGTGAACCTGAATGAAAGCTAAATATAAAGATTGCCAGACAAGAAAATAAAATGTTCATGCTTCAGTATGGATCATGAATCTAACAATGTTTGAATTGATAAAATAACTATGTTTCAGTATGCATTGAATCAAATGTAAATTATTAGAAATTTTATCATCTGGACCTCAATTAACAACTAATTGCTCAGGGGGACTGGCTGTAACTGTATATATTTTTATGTACTTATCATTTTAACCACCTATAGCTATATATTTAGAGTAATGTGATTACATATAGTTGGGTTGCTTACCACTGAGACGACCATGGGTGGGCCAGTTAAGATGATAAAAAACAAACAGTAATTATAGCAATAAGAGACAGTGACTAGCCAGCTGTATACTAAAGTATATGGGAAATTTTGGATGTAAACCCATGTTTCACTTTTGTTTTATCTTATGATCAGAAAATTGCATCCACTGTTTTGTAAGCAAGCCAACGAGACAGTTATTCAGTAGTTAAAATGTCAGGAGTTTAAATGTCAAATGTTCAGTGAAAATCATTGTTATATTGTGATGATTCTTCTCATAGTTTCTAATCTAAATTGTAGACACATGGAATGGTGAAATTCTTAATCACAATTTTTTCACCTGCATATATATCATTGTTGCACCTTTAATTAGATCATCGCTCTGTCACACCGTATCCTTTCATCTTATGTTTTGTTGTTAATAAATAGTTGAATGTGTGAAATATTGACAACTCTGTTAAATAGATTCAGTGACATTTTGCAAAGGATAATACTGTTTTTGAGCTTGAATAATAAAGGGTAAAAGGAGCTTTCAACAACTCAGTTGATTTCAATGCTATCTATAACATTGGTTTATTCCTCTGTTGTAAGAGAATCCCAAGAGTGGTGTGATCATTATGCTTGCTTTACTATATTTAGTAAATGACTTTACATAATCATTGGAACAAAATATCACAGATTTATTACATTATTGTTACCACGGCAACAGAAGGAATATGTGTCGATTGATATTAACTTGAGTTGTCAATAAACTTATATATTTTATGATGGTGTTGGGTAAACTTATTTAAAAGTATTTTCAAATAATTACAGCAAAAAGGGCAACATTTGAAATCTGAGCACATCAAGACAAGTCTTAAAAGTTATTCAATGTTAAAAAATATTCCCGATTGAATTAAGAATTTCATTCAAAACACATTCATCCTGGATATAAAACTCACATGATCGATTTCCCAAATCTATAATTTATGAATAATGTTGAATAATTTCTACTTTGGTGTTCAAAGTCTACAATCTGATGTCTTTCACTAATCCCTTTACCTCTCATTGCCATTTCTCAAAGATCTTTTACGCTGATCTGAGTCGCAATTTTCTAAATTGATTCTTTAGTGTCTTTGATACATTTGCAATTTCATAGAAAGTGACAATTTTCGGTTGGGTAGGCCTAGATAGAAGATTCATAGATTTTCTCTATTTCTTTTTGCGTGTTTGTATTTGAGACTGATCTCATATATTGATGTGTATTTGGAACGCTCTCTAGAGAAATGAATTATTTGTTAAGATTTGTTTTGTTTTGGAAATGCCAATACTTAGTCTTATTACACTTAGATATAACATATGTATATTTTCTGTACTATTATGAATAATTTATCAACATTTAATAACTTAGAAGAAAAAATCAAAATCACAAATAGGGATTATTTTAACATCTGTTTATTACAGCACTGAGGTAGATTTTCTTTTCACAGGTACTTGGAAATAAAGCTTGCTGAAGTATCAGATATAACAATCAATATCACATTGACACTTATATGATTGTAATGCTTTGTTATATTGTTTTTTCTTGTAGGAATAGCTGATGTTGATGCGATTGTGATGAAATAATCTAAGAATAAATGAATCTGAAATAAATTTCTTCCGTCATCTCTTAATTAGACAAAACAATGTTCTTTTATCATACATCTGGTCCTTTATGTTGATTATTGAACCATTGATTTCTAGGGTCCACCCAGGCTTATCTATTACGAGCCTGGTCCTGGCAATAAAGGCGACAATATTCGATGGAAGCGAGGCCATGAGTTACCTGATGATGAATTCAGGCACACGTATGTGTGAACAAACACGCAATGACATTATAGCAATATTTTTCTGTGCCAAATGTATATGTAAGTCTACTACTTGTGCATAAGAGCAAAGTTTATTTCAAAATCAGGAGAAATTAATAAAAAGATTTAATAGATACTTAGGATTGAGTCAAGGATGGATTTTGAAACTTTTGTTTTTACTGGCTGTGCATAACAATGTCATGTTTAAATAATTTTCTGACTCTGAAATAAACAGATGCTTTCTGTGTGGATGAATAATTTGCTGAATGTGATTGGTCAGATAGTGCATGGCCTTATTTGGTGTTTTGACAAGCAAAATAATGTTGTTGCTGCTTTCTGCACATTTTGACTTGAAACAGTTTTACAAAAGGATGAATTGATTTAAAAACTAATTGTTTAATAGTTAAGTTAAAGTTTGATTTGGATTGATGTTGATTAATATGTGTTTTTGTGATTTTATATTAATAAGTTTGAAAATTATTTTAAGTTTGTGATTTCTGAACCTAAGATGTTAATGTAAATATCAAAACCATCTCCACTTATGAGTTTCAGTATCATTTTTTCATCCTCAAACATATTCTAAATTTCATCTTGTTTTCTCCATGATGAGATAACAAAATTCTGGTTCGATAAATCCGATCTCCTTTTACCGACAAATTGAGTTAGGCGTAGAAGCAAATGCATGTCTGGATAGTGGAGTACTACGATTTAATGTTTTATATCATCTTCTAAATTAGTTATCCATCAGTGTTTTCCACAAAATGGCACTAATGAATAAAAATTGTCTTTGATCACGATTGAATGTTTCTGGATATTGATTCCTATGGTATTCTGGGAAATAATCATAATTTATGTCAATTGGAAAACTTATCTTAAAATCATTGCTTCGTCATTCAATTCAGCATGGCTCATATCCCCCGACCCTGTGTTATCATGCATTTATGCACAAGTATTAGGCTTTCATTGTAAAATGTCTAAAGTAATTAGCATTTTTATTTTTTACATGCATTTTCATTCATCATTGTTCATATCAGTGATATTAGATGATGAAATGTTTTTGCATATCTTATAATTGTATCTTAAGTTTTATTGTTTAAGTACTGGTTTATATGTATTTCTTTATTTTGCTTTATTTTAGGCCATTGTTCATCATATTATACATATAACATTGTACATATAACATGTAATTGTTCAATATGTTGTATTTAGATAAAGTAAATAATGACAAAATTGTGACTAATATCATGTAGATCTAAATGTATATTTATTTTATATTCATGAATACATGTTTATAATAATCATGCTGAAGCTTTTACATAAACAACATTTATAAAGGCATTGAATCAAAATAATATATACCAACATATCATTGATATATTAGAAGTAGGGCTTCATTTTCATGAATTGTGAAAAAGAAACCATATACAAAGCATGTATAATATTCTCAGCTTTAAAATTACATAACATATGAAATGGCTGAACAAATGATTATATTAAATAATTTATATTATAATAATAAATAATAAAATATTGTTTCCTATGTACTTGCAGATTCCACAGTCACCCAACACATCATTTCTAAGTAATACATCAATGGAAAGTAAACCATCAATGGAGCAAAAGTGTATGAATGATCTTACACAGGGAAACAAACCTAGCGTCATGAATGGACAAAATGGCCGCCCTTGGAATGCAGCGGATCGAGACTTGGAGGTAAGCATGCGTTTGTAGTAATTATCACAACATTTGTAATATATGCAGCTTTTTTCATGGATTGATGTTTTGGAATAGCAGTTAATATCATACATTAAAATCTTACAAATTGTATGTTGATTTCATAAGTTTTCCGCAAGATTGTGTACTTAAAACTCTTTCATTCTCCAATTGCAGTTAATTCTTTCATTGAATGCTAATACATGGGCTTCTTCTATCACAGTTGTTCAAATAGTATTGATTTAATATATATTCTTAAATTGTGTACATGTATCAACATAATCACTTCATGTCTTGCTTATTCCACTATTTTCACTCTATTTTTCTCATACTTCAGGTTCATCGGTTAATTGACATACTAAAACGGGACCAAAACAAGCATAAAGGTCACCATGGAGAAACTTCAAGTGTCGATTCTGATCGCTCCAATCCCGACAGTGGGAAAGGAACGAGTGAAAATGATGAAGACCCCTTGAACAAAAGTGGCGACCCAGAAGATTCTTTTGATAGTAAAGGTAGGTTAATACTTTCAATATCAACAAAGTAATGTTTCATGAGGAAATTGACCAAATATAGAAGTAGACTGACTGTTTCTCAATTTTGGAAGTCATCTGAATTTTCAGTTTTTTTACCAATGAAGTATATTTTTTATTTCCAGATTTGAAATCTCCCAAGAAAGTCAGCTTTGACAGCAATCCATTCTACATTAAAGAAAAGCAAGGTAAAAATCCAAAGGCAACAACACTTGGTAACAATAACCATAGCAACCTGGAGCCAGATCTCGACAACAGTGGTTACCATAGCAACCAATCAGACAATGGAGATTTCCCAAGGAATATTAAAACAAGCACAAGCTCAGACAGTCTGGATGACAACACATTAGTGCCAAGTACCCCACAAGGTGCCCCTACATTACATACATTTAAGCCCCAAGATTCCAAGCCAAACTATATACCACAGACATTTAGTGGGAATAATTTGAGAGGGCCTGTTCCACCACCAAAACCCAAACGTAGTCATAGTGATAATTCAATGCAGCCTCCTGCTGCCCTGCCCCCAAGGGGTAATAGTGGACGTTACACCCCAGTAGGAAATAGGTCAAACATTCCAAGGGTGAATTATAATGACTCTATGTCACCTAGGTCGTACCAACCTCTCCCACAACAGAGTCCATCAGCTGCAAATAGACAGCCTCATTTTCAAAACAATCCGTCTGCTTTTCAAGGTCAGCAAAGTCAGTCTCAGTCTGACTCAAAAAACAGACTTCCAGTTCTAAACCAACATAATTATCCAAACTATGCAAAAACTGGAGGACCTTTTAAAGACTTTACAATCGCTGATCTTGATCGTGCATTAGGGGATTCTGGGACAGATATGGATCGACAAGAGGATGATAGAACAACTACCACATCAGGAAGTTATACTGTCGATCCTCAGGAACTTACTAATGAAATTGATAACTTATTCTTCAAGGAAATGATTGTGTGAATGTTTCTGTGTGTAAAAATGTACAAAGTATAAAAAATTAAAATGTAAAAAGTGTAAATATTATAATGAAAAGATTCCTTAAAAGCTACATTCAACTTAATTTAGACAGTGTATTTTCAGAAGAGGGAAAGAATTGACTGTTAGCATGATTTTTTGTTACATCAGCAAAACTGATTTGCTATATAAGAGTTTATGAAAAGTGTTTCTTCCATGTGGACTGTATCAACTCATGTATAAAAAATAAATTGTAAATATGAATTTGAAGCCATTTACTTGCCAATGTTAAAAGTACAAATAACTTCATATTTCAAATTGTACAACTTAACAAAATAATGAAAACACAAACCTCCCATGGCAACCATTTAGATAAATTGAATCCATATGTTTTTAAATGTCATTTCAATTCAATTACATGATTTGACCCCAATCTTGCGTATGACAATTGACAAAATTAATTTGACATTTAGAAAATTTATCAGTTGTCATGGGACACTGATTTGGAAATACAAAATTATCAGATGAAATCAAAATATAAAAGTATAAACTCTTACTATTATTACTCTTACTGGATATAACTATCTGTTTGACTTGAATTTTTTGATACTATACCCGACCCAGCTAGAATACAAGGGCAGGGGAAAAAGCTTTAAAATGATCCAAAATTAAATACACCATGCTTATCAGCCATTGATTTACTCGGGCCTCATCCAAAGTAAAAATCAAACTTCATAACATGGAGTAAGAAAATGATAACATTTAATTTGTAAATAATTTGTATAATTTATATTTTTTCTGTAGAGGCCACTTATACACCAATGCTACTGTATTAAATTATTTAAAGGGCCTAAGGGCTAAGAAAGCATTTTAATAAGACATGTTCATTAATAAATATGTTGATAAAATCTAATGTTTGTAAATGAATGAATTATCAATCTGATATAAAAATAATGTTTGCTTATTGTTTGTGTCAAAAGTATTATTAATTTTTGTTATTGAATAAATTATGCTAATTCGGTGATATTGCTATGTTTACAAGCTTAAAGCTATCTTGTACTGCATAAAATAAACTGAAAAATATTTTATATACAAAAATAATTCATTTTATTGTTTTGTTCTAATTTTGTTTGAACCTTCAGACACAGTTGGTAAGAGAAAATGATTTAACATTGATGTCTAGTTGATGTTCATATATGAAGAAATCATGGCTGTTATTAAAACAGACAGATACACAAAACCTGGATAACCCAAATACAGTTTCGAATCTAAACATCTCAATATGAACACTTTTTCAATTTCACCTTTTTAAACCGACATAGACTACCATGATAAAAGTTGAAAACCTGAAAACGTGAATATCTGCCTATCTAAATATAACACTTATATAAACACTTTTGGCCAGTCCAAGTGGCATTCGGATTAGTCAGGTTTTACTATAGTTCTTTTTCCCAGTCCTATGATATATAGAATCCAGCTTACTCTCTATATCAGTAGACAAAGTAGTAGATATGGCTGAATCAGGGAGAGGTATTTCATGGAGATATTTTATAAGAGAAGCACCTTACAGATTAACTTTTGAAATTGTTTTCAGAACATTCCATAAAGAGGGCAGCACCTTACAGTTACAGAGCAATATTTTTGGAGATATTCTATAGAGAGGGCAGCACCTTGTAGTCTCATGATTTCAAAATATTGGCAGGTTGTGGACATTTCTCTCAGGTATCTTTGTTACGTATCTTTCCAGCGTCTAGGCATTTCATCTTTGGCATTAAATGTCTTCCAATATAATTCATCAGGTTCAGTGAGAGCCTCAGCACCATCTATTAAGTCTTTGAATGTCAACATTTTAAAAGATGGCACTGTTTCCTCCATGTATTCTTCACTGTCTGTTAATGTCTGAAAGTAAAAAAATAAGTAATGGCAACCATTTTACAAAATAAGTCAAATTGTGTTAATAGATCAAATTACAAATATAATATAGGTGTAATCCAGATAATTAAGGACAACTTTCGCAAATTCATAGAGTACCCAGTGAAGAACTGTTAGTTCAAAACTGACTTCTGTGATATTTTCATGGCAAAGAGCATATTTTCCAAAATAAGGCCAAAGTACATTTTTATTGTTTATTTGTCTGAAACTTAATGAATGACAACCAATGAAGGATTCCATAGGCTGAAGTAAAAAATCAAGGCATTATCTTGAAATTATGTCAGTGGTGCTCTTGTTGATAAAGTAAAGATGAGAATTAAGCATGAATAGATTGCAGTCATTTTAGTCTCATCAATATTAAAAACGGCTACTAACTTCTATCACATTTCCGCAATTCCTGTTTATTTGTTTGACATCTGTACATATCCCTACAGCAACACAATGTTTTTCATCAAGTTTTGTTTCCTCAAACCTCCATGCTGGGTCTAATTCTCCATCTATATGGAAGGTGGTATCACTTGTAATGACCCCTGTATGGAGAGGGGTCTTCACATGAAAACTTAGTCTCTCTAAGTTGAAGCCAATCCCAATTCCAAATGCCTTCACATAACTCTCCTTAAGGCACTGCAAAGATAAAAAAGATACAAATATATCATGATTGGAAAGTATATATGAAACAATATGACTTTCAAAGACTCCAAGACTCCATAGAAATTAAGTATGCTTCAACTACAATATGTGAGTTTATTCCAGCTCAAAGGCTAAGAAAATTCCACTTGTATCATCCAGTGGTATAGTGTTATTTTATGCAGGTCTGTAGTTGTTAAAACAACCAACTCGCAAGAGACAAATCTACCAAATGTGTGTACAGGGTAGGCCAAAAAACGTAGGCCAAAAAACTATTTTCATGGATTCCAAAAATATTTTCGCTTGATATGCAGCAGTCAATACAATTAGCAATTTTCCTAAATGGCAAAAGTATATCTAAGCAGTATTTGAAAGAGAAAGGTTAATAGACAATAGTGATAAATATGCAAATTCCCAGTTTCGATGCATTATTTGATTTTCTTGATGATAAATCTATTTTGTAGAAGATATTTGGTTTATTTGAAGCAATTGAAAATTGATATATTTCAATTTCTGAACTCAGTCAACAATTTTGATTTGAAGTCCTGATCAAAATAACTAGTACTATGACATAGTCTCTCTAAGTTGAAGCCAATCCCAATTTTCAAATGCTTTCACATAACTCTCTTTTAGACACTGCAAAACAAAATAACTATGACCTTGACATTTAACCTTCAAAACATCACCTTATCTGACTTCTTTAAGTCTTTTGTGACCCAAATGATCATATTTGGATAACAGTAAACTATTTGAAAATTTATTTGTTTTAGCTTCTTTATGTCAACCAGATGTCATAATCAAAATCTGCGGTCAGATATGAACTCCTTATAAATAATTCTTAAAAAGAATCCATTCACTTTAAAGCAAGTTGAATTAATGAGTTTTTAATCTTTGTGGGTATGGGACCTTTTATCAAAGAAATCACGAGAATTTATGTCAGATATTACCTTGTTTATAAGGTAAATAAAATAAAATGTGAAGTCAGTACATTTCACTGGTGATGGCTCTGACAACTTACCCAATGTCTGTAAAACATGCCCAACTGTTCCATTTCAGACGCGGGTTGATTAATATTTGACCACTCTCTGATGACTTACCCAGTGTCTGTAAAACATGCCCAACTGTTCCATTTCAGACGTGGGTTGCTTAATATTTGACCACTCTCTGATGACTTACCCAGTGTCTGTAAAACATGCCCAACTGTTCCATTTCAGAGGTGGGTTGCTTAATATTTGACCACTCATGGTCAGTGAACTGACGACTCATCAGATCAAAGAATTCAGCAGTTGATTTTGAGCCTCCTGAAATTATAAATGTAACAAGTTATGAATATGTAAAATATATATGTGGATAACAACACATTATCCTTGCAATTTGCAGTATGGATTTTCTCTATGGGAAATAACATGGGGAACACTGCTTATCTCAAAGATATTCAGTTTTCATTTCAAGAACTAATAAATACATTTAAATAAAGGATAGTAATGCAATTAAACTTTGTAAAAGTAAAAAAGATTGCCTTTTTGGTGAAAAGCTGTTCAGTGTTCAAGGTTTTTAACATGAGATTTCATGCAAGAAAAATGAACCAAAAAGTCTCCATTTAAAGAGATGTTTAGATTTAGTAGTGTTCAAATATACAGGTTTTACTGAAGTCAAAACAAATAACTTTGTCTTACTTGGTTGGGCAATGTCCATAACATCTATTCCAACCTGGTAGACTGGTTCAGCAGCCAATACAGCATATTCTCCCTGGTGGGACACATTAAAGTTGAAATTTGGAAATCCTGTTTTCATTTTGGTCTCAAGCACAGGCTTTCCTTTTGGAGTTCTTCCTAGTTTGACATCTTTATATGGAATATTAAGTGTCTCAGATATTACCTTCCTGAGAAGAAGTCTACCTGCCTACAAAGAATAAATAGTTAATTACGTCTTTTCATAGTTTATAAAAGGATTAAGGTTGACTCACTTAAGAGCTACCATAATGGGGTTCAAGAGTTATTAGTTTATTATGTAGTATTTAATTTATGGGGTAATGAATTTAAAAATCACCTAAAATACTGCCATCTTACCATGGAAGACTTTGCATCCTTCTTGAAGACAAATTTTCCAATTCTTTCTTTTTCTTCTGGCTGAATGCACTGTGCTGCCATTGTCCATTCTGCCTCAGATGGGGACCATCTACCACAGTTGAATGCCCAGCGGAGCCGAGACATACTGGCTGCATATGAATGCCTTTACATGTTACAGAAACATCTCATCTGAAGCAAAGACAGTCACTTTTTGGCAGTTACATATAGTACAAATAAAAACAGTACAAACAAAATTGTTTGTGAAAACTATATTCAAAAGTGTTCCAGAGACTCTAATCTACTTGGCTAAGGTTTTATTTGAAGATACATTGCCTTATTAAGCAGGTAGAGGGGCATACAGAACACGGAAGCAAATGCTCTGTTGAAAATTTTCTGTATTTCAGTTTGAACATGTTATTACATGTCACGTAGGCCAGTGTTTTATATGGGGATTATATGTACTTTACTTGTTTACATGACCGTAAATCATTACATGAAATCTGCAGTCTTCCGGGTTTTATCTGGGTTTGTATTGTCTTATTGGGGCTTTCCGACTTTAAAACAAACCTTACCGAAATGGATTTGTGTCTCGTGAACATTTTTGTAAAAAGTTATTATAAACAATTCTGAAATAATATCACATATTTTTGTCTTCTCGATTTCAGTCATGTATTACATCAATATAGCCTGCAAACTTTGGGTAGTCGTTGTCATTCCCAAATGCCCAAACGTGTCAGGAACATATAGATACTCGAATAATCTTGATAGGACATCAGGGTGCAGAGAAATTATAATTTTACTGAGTGGCTTCACGAAAAAATAAGCAGCATTTTAAACCACCTAAGGAAGTTGAGTACGAACAAAATTAGAATATTTGAAGTGATAGTACAGCTAGTACATGAGGTAGCTTCTGGTCGACACCCCAGACGAGAACAGAGTCAGTAGGTAAGATAAGACTCTTTTATATTAGATAATAATAATAATAATAAATTTAGCATATAGTATGGGTTAAAGTACAACTTATACACAACCACAGGCCATGGGGTTGATTTTGCAGAAGAAAATCACCCCCACAACTACTTGTGTACTAAAATCTTAGGGTTGAAAAGTATTGTCAGTGACACAAAGAGTTGAATTTTATCTTCACAACCACTAATCAAGCTTATTTTTCAATTAAGTTCAGAGGGGGAGAAACACCAGGGTTCAAAGATGACATACGCTTATAATGTAAATCTGTATTGAGATGACATCGTCGCTGATTGGTCAAAAGTCGACAAACAAATGACGACATCAATGGCGGTTTCAAAATTTTCGAAATACGCTTCGAATAATATTATGTTCATTTCTGGCGTGTTAACCAATATCATAGCTACTCATTTCACATCAAGATAAGGAAAGGTGTACGGATTATGCCTATGTCAATTAAAACATCCCATCGAAGTGTAATATTTGATAACTAGCTGATGAAAATTCGAACGAACGAAGGTGGTAAGCAAGAGAGGTAATTATGTCTGTCATCTTTAAACTCTGGGGCTTTCCCTCCTCTTAATTAAGTTTGTGGGAGTGATTTGAAAAAAACAACCCAAGATTGGGGGTAGTCAACTTTTGGCCGGTCCCTGAGGCGATCGTACTTGACAGATTTACTCTAATTCATATAGTCATGAATTCACACACTATGTGCGATATTTTGAAGTAACGCTTTAACTCACGTTCAGCCTTATTTGCAACAAATATACCAGGAAGTTTTTTCACAAATAGCAACAGGAAGTGAAGTGAATGGACTGCTTGGAGGTAGAGTTTAAGATTTTACGACAACTACAACTTGAAAATGAAAAAAAAATCTCAGGGGTACAATTACTCCCGGGAAATCCTTCGACCACCATGTTGCCCACATGACACAACCCTCAAGTTTGATGCCCGATCATTTTTTCAATTTTTTATTTTTGCGCAAAATTCGTTTTGCACCTTCATTCCAAGATACCCGGGTTTAGCGCGCGCGTACTATAACGTCACTATAGCAACGTTTTGACCTTGAACTAACAGGATAGAGGAACGCGCTGCAGTGTCTGAACGGGTCACGACAATGCAGCCTTTTTGCACGTTTCATGGACAATCTTCGGTATTATTAAGGTAAGTTTAAAACGAGGAATGCCACTGGAATCCTGAGATTCACAGCTTTGACGTGGTATGAAAAAGGATCCATAAATATTGCGATTTCTTACTGATCGAGACTCTCAAACTTTGATGAATAAAAACAGGTGCTTTTCCTGAGACCCAGCGTCTTCTTAATTTTCAGTACTTTGCTAGAAGGTTAGAATTTTTTTCTTTGGTACACATTTGGAGCACATAACAGGTGTACATTTGAGCAACTTTGAAAATTATTCATCAAATTTTGACGGAATTATCAACCAAAGTGTTGGTGGATTTTGGTGTCATTTGCAGTTCAAATTGTTAGTTTTCAGCGTCTCTAGATAAGGGATTTTGAGGAAAAGTTGTGAAAAGCTTATTTCTGAGGGTTCATGAATACAGGTCAATGTGTGTGTAATATCTAAGCATAACTCCTGGTAGATTTTCTCATCCATCGCCATTTGTACCCCCCGAGACCTCAAATGTGGGTCCCTAGTCCAGTTCGAATTGTTCGATTTCCTTATATGGTGTTTAGACACCATATGAACGATTATTTCCGAAGGTTCATATATTCAGCTTAATGTGTGTTAAATAGCTAAGCATAACTCCTGATAGATTTTCTCATCCATGGCCATTTGTACCCCCGAGACCTCAAATGTGGGTCCCAAGTCCAATTCGGATAGTTCGATTTCATTATATGGTGTTTATACACCATATGAAAGATTATTTCTGAAGTTTCATATATTCAGCTTAATGTGTGTGTAATATCTAAGCATAACCCCTGGTAGATTTTCTCATCCATGGCCATTTGTACCCCCCGAGACCTCAAATGTGGGTCCCTAGTCCAATTCGGATAGTTCGATTTAATTATATGGTGTTTATACACCATATGAAAGATTATTTCTGAAGGTTCAATCATATATTCAGCTTAATGTGTGTTAAATAGCTAAGCATAACTCCTGGTAGATTTTCTGATCCATCGCCAGTTTTACCCCTGAGACCTCAAATGTGAGTCCCTAGTCCAATTCGGATAGTTCGATTTCCTTATATGGTGTTTATACACCATATGAAAGATTATTTCTGAAGGTTCATATATTCAGCTTAATGTGTGTTAAATAGCTAAGCATAACTCCTGGTAGATTTTCTCATCCATGGCCATTTGTACCCCACGAGACCTCAAATGTGGGTCCCTAGTCCAATTCGGATAGTTCGATTTCATTATATGGTGTTTATACACCATATGAAAGATTATTTCTGAAGGTTCATATATTCATCTTAATGTGTGTTAAATAGCTAAGCATAACTCCTGGTATATTTTCTGATCCATCGCCAGTTTTACCCCTGAGACCTCAAATGTGGGTCCCTAATCCATGTAATCTGGTTTGGATTGTTCGATTTCCTTAAATGGTGTTCAGACACCACTTGAAAAGTTTATTTCTAAAGGTTCATATAATCAGCTTAGTATGTGTGTATTAGCTAAGCATAACTCCTAGTATATTTTCTCACCTATCGCCATTTGTACCCCCGAGATCTCAAATGTGGGTCCCCGACTCCCCAGTCTGGTTTGGATTGTTCGATTTCCTTATATGGTGTTCAGAGTTCAGACATGCACCACTTGAAAAGTTTATTTCTGAAGGTTCATGTATTCAGCTTAATGTGTTCGAATAGCTAAGATAAACTCCAAGTAGATTTTCTCATCCATCAACATTTGTCCCCCAAGACCTCAAATGTGGGTCTGTAGTCCGGTTCGGATTATTTGATTTCCTTATATGGCGTTTAAATACCACATGAAAAGATATAATAATACAATATATGACAATACATGTATTATATGATCTCAAGCTCATTTTATTTACCAGTTCACTAGTTTTATTTTGTATTTTATTGGGTCTAAATTGATGGGTGCAACATTGATGGGTGCAACATTCATTCAAATTACACATATAAAAGCTTTTTATACCTTCTAAATGATCAATATTATTCATTATCAATAATGTACACTTATTTTCTTCCAGCTACCGAGTGAGAATGGACATGACTAGCAACCATGCCTCTTTACCTGTTGACTCCATCTTTGAATGTTATGCGAATGATTGAGATCTGCCATGTTGCAGAAAAATGTGATTTTCGAGGTATGTACACAATGTTAGATAAATCGAATGTACAGAGTGTCAAATAAATATGATAGATAGTTTTACTGTGCTAAGGAACAATTCAGATATCATGCAGACAAAAAAGTTACCCAACATTATGTGGATCATAAAGTTAAGGGGGAGAACATATTTATTTGATACCCTGTACAGGGTGTCCCGAAAGTATGGGGGCCCCCTAGGCGGACATATACCAATGTCTTCATAGTATGTGTCATATATCATTTTAAAGCTTATCCAAACTTACATTAATTTGCCAAGTATCATGGTTCAACTCACAAAAGGTAAATAGTTACAGGCATTTCAAAACTAAGTGTTTAGCTAAACATATAGTTCATTTCAGTATCCTGGTAACAGCCCTGACCTGAATATGACCGAAAATATGAGAGCTATTGTCGACAAAAGGATGGATATTGAGTTCTAAAAAGAGGAAGTTGGGGGTAGATACTCCAGGGAAACTCTTCTAGAATGCTTTAAAAAAGTTTTATTAGGATAAAAAATGCCAAATCCCTATTTGAAGCACGTTTAAGGTCATATATGGAAAGCATTGCTGCCATTAACATGGCTTAGGGACTCCGGGAGACACACCGACTATTATTTTGGTGTAAAACTGACTTTAATTTTTTTTAAACTTTTTCCTTGGCAGATCGGTGTAATTTTGGATGATCTTTCAAATGATATATGGCACATACTATGGAGACATTGAAAAATGTCTGCCTAGGGGGGCCCCCATACTTTCTGGACACCCTGTATATTAAATGCCCATATAAAGTTCCAGTCACTTTGGCTTAGAGCTTAGGCTTTATTATGCGTGTAGTACTCCAATAGTAGACCAATGTTTTCGAAATGCGGTATGTGAGGCCTTTCAATTTAATTTCAAGAAGACTTACTAAATACATGTACTAAATCCTGCTCTTGTGTATGTTTCATGAGATTTTATCCAAATTTTGGACAGATTTTGTTTTTTTTACTGTGACACCTGAATACTGCCACAACATCATTATTAAATATTATTTGTATACATTTACTAGTAGAATACTGTAAAACGGGTAATTTTGACACTGGGAAATTTAAGCGATTTTTCAATTTTAGGGGGTTTTAGCGCGGGAAATTTTAGCGAAATGAAGATTAATCTTTAAAAAATCAAATTAGCAAAATGCATATTAGGTGTATAGATTCTATAGACTTTGATTTTGAAAGTGATCCTTTGCTCACTTATGGTATGGGAGAATTTAAGCAATATCATTGGTTGTTGAACCGTGTTCAATTAACACCTTTTATCTTTATATTTACTACTAATACTATTTCACTGATGGATGGCTATTTATCCTTCAGATATTGAAAGAAACATACGATTTAAAAATATTTACCTTTTTCAAATTACAGACGCAAATTTTAGCGCCCAGTTTATTTCAAACCTGTTTATTTTAGCGAATTGAATTTTTAGCGAAACTATAGCGATCGCTAACAATCGCTAACAATTACCCCTCGCTAACAATACCCGTTTTACAGTATGTAATTTCTTATATCAAATTCAATTTATTTCAGTAATGCTGACATCTACGTGCATACTCTATACATCTGTGTGAGTGGGAATGTATGAGACTGACTCCTGAGGGAAATGCCACTGTTGTAGAGCTGCATCTCAGTCTTCTACTGACTACTATGCGGTAATTTCAAGCTTATATTTTATTTGACAACATGGCATCTCTTGGACTCCAAAGCTGTTTGAAGCTATGAAACTTGATAATATTGTATAATTTAAAAATAATAACATGAACACTCCTTGTAATCATCGGTAGAATTTTGGTAAATAATGATGTTTTACTTATATAACCAAGCTTAACTGAGATTTTAAATGGCAAACAATGCAATTATATGCTCCAGAAGAGGAAATAATGGAAATGTATTCAATATATTACGGGTTATGGAAAAATTTCAATTGATTTTCTTTGCAAATATCAATGTCTCTAACAATCTATTTAATAACAAACTGCAATGCATAAAAATAGATTCTATGATTATTTTAAAGCTATACAATGATAACAAACAACCCCGATACTTTTTCTTGGTATATAAAAACCTAAAAATGTTGATTAAGCAATATAATATTATGAAACAAGTTCAACACATCTAGAAATTATCATAGAGTCACCAATAGCCATTCATATTTTAGGAATCATTTTGTTGGAAATTCTATTATCTTCCTAATGATATATAATTTATGGATTTATGGAACACATCAGCAGATATTACAAAATCAAAAATGTGGACTTTTTTGGTCTACCCTGTACATGTGTGAGATGTGTACTATATTTACGAGTGTGCCATAAAACTATTTTAAATCCTGTAACTTCAATTTTGTACCTGTAATGTGTACTAGGCCTGAGGAATGAACCAAGTCAGCTGCTAATGCTGACACACCATCCTTAATAAATGTTCTTATTTAGAATATATAATTTCTAATATTAAATTGCATTAATTTCCCAGCAAATTATTTAAAGCTATAAAATATGTAATAAAATACTGATGATTAC